AGTACTTAACAGAGCTCACATTTAGAGGACATTTTTCTATTTCTGGCTGCTGAGAGGATCCATGTCAGCTTTAGGTTGTTGTACATTTCTGTTACATTGTTGATGGAATCAAACAATATCAACTACATCACTATATCTGGGGTGTTGTTAGAGTTTATTCAAGTCTAACTGGTTCCTTATTGACTACCTGCACACTTATATTGATACAGTGATTTTACTCTCACTCTGGTGGTTATATGAAGACTGAATATTGAATTCAAGGACTTGACATGAGAACGCAATGATAGATATTGATGGAGAGATGCTGTCAGAGTCATCAGAAAGAGGGTTATTCAGAGGTGCTGCAGGGGTGATCTCAAAGGAGGATGTAGGAAGTGGGAGAATTGATGTGTCCCAAGATCAATACTGGAGAGCATTCGGATCTCAACAGTGAAACTAAATCACGTTGTGGCTGCTGCTGCTGCTTCAGGGGCATCTCTCTCTGTCCTGTGAGCTGATGGTAGGTGGTGGTGGTGATGGTGGAGGTAGCACAAGGGTCAGGAGGATGGACACGGAAAAAGCTGACCATATTTTTTGGTGAATGCAGCAGCTTCACGGTTATTGGCTCGGATCAATACCCATCAACGCTGGATTTCTTTAAGTTTAAATGCTAAGTACCTCGATGAACATGAAACACAATTACAATGCTAGAGCGAGCATTAGTGGTTTTTGAGTGGTTGCAGCAAATTTAGTGTCACTATAACAATGAAAGAAGTTATGTAACAAGCAGAGCTTAATGGATTTCTACTTTCTAAAACCTCAACACGCTCAAAAGCAGCTCAAAAGCAGCTTCATTCAGAAGGTGGACCTTTTCATCTGACATCATGTTCAGGGTGAGAAACTTGTATGCTAGTGTGATGTTGTGCAACATTATCCCAAAATGAAAGTCCACAGAGTATATTTTCATACATTTCTTTGCTGCTTTATTAAGTATTAACTGAAAAGACAAATAATGTGAGGAGTTGGACATAACCCAAGAGCTCAGCTTTTTCTTAATTAGTTTAGTTACACCAAATCATAATGTAAGATTTTAACCTCTTCCCTCTAGTCAGTGTCCAGATGCTAATGGTGTCTTTTGTCTGATAATAGAAGAAAGCAAGGTTCTTTGATGTGTCACTTGATAGCCTGATTTCATGTTGGATTTGTACTTTCCATTGTTTTTACTGAAGCCTGTCAATCAAAAGGTGATGAAAAATGATCTCTTACACGTCCTTAGTCTCTGATTTGAATCCATAGACTGTATATACTATGGACAGCTTGGTTCCTCCTTCTGTCATTATACAAATTTGAAGCCGAATTGCTCACAGTATTTCTGGGATTTTCTCCATTTCCTGAAACCACCACTTGTGCAGTAGCATTGTACGCATTGCTCAGTTGCTCAGTTCAAACAGCCTATCCCCCTGGTGAGCTACGCAATCTTTGTACGCCCATAGGCTGTATCAAGTGTCAACCATAGAAAACATGAACCCCCATAATAACTTACAGTAACTACATGTCAACATCACAACAAGAGGGGAGGAAAAATTATACTCTATGTAATTAATTTGTTAAGTTTGTCCACAGCTCCATAGGAATTGCTGGAGGAGGTGGGATTCATGACCTATACTGCAGCCCACCACCAGAGGGTGCTGTTCTTGTGGTGGCTTCACCCAGTGAGGAGGCAGATGGTGTCTATTCTATATACAGTCTCTGACTAGAAACCTTGGACACAGCAGACTAGATTCTTGCTGCTTCTTCCCACCCTGAGCATGACTTAGAAAATGCTGCAATTGTAGGTCAGTAACACTTGATCTAACACCTTTGCTTTACTCTTTGAACCTTTTCCATTCCTGTAGCCTTGTCCTACTGTACTTAAGACTTTAAACATTATCCCAAAATTTCCTCAAACTTTTAAATCCATTACTAAACAAGCTCTACTGGGCATGTCTGAAATCGAATACACAGACTCCCTTTGTCTGTTCACCAGCTTTACATGATGTAAGTTGGCTACTGTTTTGTGAGCTAACTGGACAAGGAAACAGTCAAGGAAGCAACACTGTTAACTTTGTCAAAACTGCTGTGAGGAACTTTTGATTTGTGTTAGTTTTGGTGCCTCCTGTGAACACACTGGTACTTTAAAAAATCTGTTTTCAGACTAATACCTCGTCCTTTTGTCTTTTGTAACACTAAAATGTATCATTAAATATGAAAGGTAACATTAAAGCTGTTCCCTCAGCCTGTTGTCAATCAATTGCTCTGATGCCTACCTCCCATGGTGTTTTTAAGTGAAAACACTTAGTTTGTTTTTGACACTCTTAGGGAGGCATCAGTATCAGTTTCAGTGTGTTTCTCAACCAGTGGAAAACTCCTTACTTTACCTTTAAGCAGCTCATGTTATTCCACTGATATTGTCATTGCCTCCAAGATTTGGAAGTGCCCTATTACAAACCTGTAGAAATTCACATTTGAGATATAATATTTTTTTGTTTGCCAAATGCATTTGTGAAATATACTTTCACACCAAAAGCACCTAAATGTTATCTTAAGCTGAGGTTAAAAAAGGCTGCAAATTCAGCAAGTTCTTTTCAACCATATTTCAAAATAAGTACTTCCTATTTCAGGGCACAGCTGTCATGGATAATAAAAGTCCCTTTTAGAAATCAAAATAAAGTGAAAAGTTTCAGATGATATTTCAATAAACTCATTTTATTGCAGCACACTTGTTTTCACAGTGCAGCAAAAACACATTTACACATAACATACCATTTGCCATGTTTTAGTGGAGGCTGCAGTTAATTCACTCAGCATAAAGCACCACAGTGATGTGATACAGTAACATTTGAAACCAGAGATTAGTACAAAAAATGAAACCAGCCCTCAGTTTTCAGTGGAAATGAACAACCTCATCATTCACTGTTAAGCTCAAGAGCAACACTCAAGATGTGAATGGGAGCGGCTGTTGCTGACGAGTTCAACTGAGGCGCCCTCTTGTGGCTAATGGTGATACTGTACCTAATAAGAGCCTGAGTGTTTGAAACTGGATGTAGTTTGGAAATTTGCACACTTCAGCCACACGGTGTGAATATGAAGTGTGATAGAGAACAATAGTTTAATAACATCCATGTAAAACATAGAAGTAAACAAGAATGGGTTATGGTGACCCAATTTGAGGACAAGTTTTAAAACTGTGCCTTACAGTTTGTGTTGACTTTGTGTGCATTTTATGGGAATGTGTTTCTAATAATAAATTGCCTCCTGCTTCATTTACATAATGTGAAAAAGAAAGGGAAATGAGAAACACATGTTTAGATAATGCAAACCAGTGCTTCAGCACCACAAAAACAGCCACGCACAGACTTAGGCTTAGTGTCGACAGCAATTAAAAGTCAGATAAGCAATAAAAGATTCACACTATGGCCAGACGTATGTAGACACTCTGAAAAGACTGTTCTGCTCTTGTGAAATCCTTTAAGCTACAAACAACATGGGTGTCATTAAAAGAAGAAAGGGTCTCCACCAAATATCTCTGCACTGTACGATGCAGAGGTAATATTTCTCCTGAGACAAACTCAACAAACAGCTGCTGCACACATAATGAGCACAAATTAGGACACGGGTTGTGGTGTCTGCAGACTTTAAGCCATATTGTTACAATAAGGAGAGACTTGGAGAAGGGTATTATGCTGCTGCATGTGTCAGGCATTAATGTTTGCAGTAAGTGTAAATCATTTTAATGTCATTCTTTTGCATTAAATCAGACCTCACGTGAGATAAGAAGCTGAGGCTGAAATGTGTGTTCATGCATACTGTATATACAGTATGTGTGTGAGAACAAGAGGGGCAGGAGGTAGCAGGTTGTTCAGTCTTACTGCAGGAGTATCAGAGCTCTAGTCCAACAGGCAGGTGATGGAGGCACGTGTGCAGTCTTTGGAGGAGCTTTTCGAGGCCTGCCTGCTTCTCGGGGTCTCCACTGCCCCCAGATGACCGTCAAGCCATGCACAAGAGGGGGTGGTGGTGGTAGGGGAAGCGGAAAGGGAAATGGTGATGGCAGCATGAATTCAATATCTTGTTAACTCCATCATGTGCTACAAGCACTTGCTCTGTCATTAGATAAGATATAGATCGGAATATGAAGCTCTAGATCTAAATGTATGGGCTGACTCAGATAGTTGCACTTAATAGTGGTGGTTGTTAATTGCAGTCAAACGCGCCTAAGGGCTCTAATTTCGTGCCCTGGCAGTAGAAGGCACAGCACAGGTCAGATCCCATGCGTAGCCGGGGCATTACCCCCTCCCCCCTTAGCTCCTCCCAGCGGCGCAAGTCGGAAAGAGGGAGAGGTGAAGGTGTGGAGTGAGTTTAAGAAAGCCTAGTCCAATTTCCACCTATCAACAAATGGTGTGCTGAGGGGGATGTTACGTCCTCCACACTCTCTCAAATAAGCATCGATGGATTTGGTGTGTGCGAGGTTGGGCCCACGGGAAAGACAAACACTCTTTTCCACAAATAGAGACACTCACATCAAGTTGGATATAGTTCAACCCTATGTGACAAATGTGGTTGTGCGCGCGGATCCCAACAAAAACAAATGCCACGCATAAGGCATTGATATCGGAACCACCTGTGCATAAAGGAAGCATCACGCTCCGTGACCTGGCTTTAACTTTCACCAATGGTGGCATGTGAAATGAACTTGGCTCAGGCCACGGTATATTATTGTATTGGCATATAGGCCTAACTCAGGATTGAATATTCGCAGAATCTCAGGATGTGAAAACATTAGATTAACTGGTTATTTTGAATGAAAATATCTTTTCTTGTTTTGTTCGCATTTTCAAAATAATAACTTATTTGATCACTAAAATAAATCATCTGTTCAGCCTTGACACCGCAGGAGCAGCATGAGGCAGGACGGGGAGAGGACGCGGAGACGTGTCCGGGGGGTGGACGTGCCCCCCTCTCTCTCCTCCCGCCTCCTCCGCAGTGCACTTGCAGCTGAGCAGCGCTCTGGACAGGACGATCTCCCCCTCCTCCTCCTCTCCCTTTTTCTCTGTGTGTGGTGCTGCTGAGGGGTGCACCTACAGTCGCATCTGACTCCAGCGAAGAGGGTCCCGGGCGTACGGACTCCTGACGGTGCGGACTCATTGATAAAAATCCGCGCCGCTGGGATTAAAATGAGCACTCCTGCTGCGCGGTTCTCCTCCTCCTCCTCCTCTTCTTCCTCTCCTTCCACATAGCGCTGCTTTCTCTGCACAAGATCTGTTTTTTATGAGACTCCAGCAGGCGACGCAGGATGACTACTACCTTATCGCTGGTGATTTTGTGCGCTTTGGTGAGTAATCTGTGCTGTAACTCGTGCGTGCTTGCTGTGATACTCCTACACTGTGGAAAACTGTAGTTTTTTAAATTTCATGCATAAATTTTCTGCCTTTATGATCCTGCTTTGGCTTGTTGGCTCTTCATTTAATTCAAAATTATGCTCATAAATAGTCTAGCTGGGACTTCTAGGGTAGTTTCTCATGACTTCTATGCCCTGTATTGCATTTGGTGATGCATGTAATGCCATTATGATATCATGAGTTCTATTAAAAGGTGTGCAGTATTAACTTTGTTGTTTTCCCCTTTAAAAATGCAAAATTAAAGGTCTAGTGTGCCATTTTTTGCAAAATATACAGGTTATAGCTGTAGCCAAGTAAGAATTGCAGTTTACATCAAATACATCATACCTGGGTTATTTCTTGTCCCCTGAAGGTTTACCTCTGTATGCATGCTAAATACATCCCCGGTGGGTCTTAACCAGGGAAGAAAGTTGGAAAGCTCCACTCCTTGCATCTGGAAAATAGAGCTTTCTTCTTCTTCATGTTGGATTGCACCCAGACATCCAGGAGCTGTCTGCTGACAGGCGACTTGGCACACTCTTTAATGAGATAAAGTTTCAATTTTGGGGTCTCAAATAAGGAGAGATAAAGATGCTGCAGCTTACGCAGGGTAAATTGATTCATCAAATTCTTATCAGACATGAACTTGGCTTGATTTTGATTGAAAACATGAGGCCCTGTTAATATTGTGAAAAAGTTGATAATGCAGAGTAAAGAATGATTAAGCTCAGAGCGGAGGGTGCATCGTCCCTTTGCTCTGGTATGTCCACAGCAGCTGGTCTAATTGGGCTGTGCAGCTCTCAGTCATCATGTGAACAGGCCTGCATGTGAGAGGGGACACTGTTATGACAGCTGGTTTGAAGGGTGGCGGGTGCTCTTTGGTAAAATTAAATTTAGAAATAAACTCTCAAATTGACCATGAAATTGGGAAGAGGACGAACCAAGCATATCACAGCTGGGTCACCGTATGTTTTTTTTTGTTGCATGTGTATGTGTGAGCGTGATCATGGTTCTGTTGAACCAATCTCCCCGCTGGAATCGCCGTGAATCTGTGTCTGAGCTGAGTGAAATTCCAGAGAGATGTCACAGGAAAGGGAGTTGAGGCAGCAGTCAGGGACATGAATCCTCCCCTTGCAGGTACAATTGGGAGCCCTTTGGAGGATTTGGGCTTCATCCAAAGTTCATTTTGTGGAGAAGAATGTGGCTCTAGCCCTGATGGCACGCTCAAATACAGACTGAGATTTGTGCAGAAGTGATGAGAAGAATCAGCCTTGAGAGCAAAACGTGGAACGAAAGAAATAGGGGAATATTGAGCAAGAAATGAGAGAGAGAGAGAGAGAGAGAGAGAGAGAGAGCTGCTGGCTGCTCACTACATCTGTTTCTGAATGAAAGCAGAGAGAGGGGGAGGAGGGGAGGGTCGAATGAGAAAGACAGAAAAGATTGAATTGATGTTTCAGCAAATGTAAGTGGAAATGAGCTTCTTTCTCTGGTCACATAATAAGAGCCAAAGGACATTAAAGTGTTTCAGTCTGATGATTTTCTTTGTTCTAAAATGTCTGAGCTTGAAGTCTTTTGAGTTAACATTGCTGTACAAACAAGCCTTGGTTCTTTTGCTTGGCATTTGTATCTGAGGGAAATGAGATAATTCAACAGAGTAAGAGGAGGAAGAAGGGGGCGATGCCTGGAGTAGATCAGACACGTTAAAAGGATAAAGGGGAACGTAAGCTGTGAATGAAAGACACTAAACCAGACCTGAAATTACCTATCTCTCAGGAGGAAAGGGAAGCAGCAAAGGCAAAGACTCTTATTTACAGTCTGCAGGTATTTGGGGTGATAAAATGTGTATATAAATGCAAATTAGGATGGAGCTGTAGAGGAGCTTAAAGAGTCTTTTTATCATATGTGAAAATGTCTGTATTACTTCTGTTAAGAATCCAACAAGAGCTACTGTTTGGTGGAGAAAGTGTGTTTGTTAACTAAAGAGTTTGACAGTGGTACACTTAACCCATCTGGATCCATGTAATGCTAGTTTGGGTTTACCTTTAAAACTTTTTTTGAGCAAAGTTTGGATGTACTGTTCCCACCTGTAATCATCCCTACAACAGTGGAAAAACAAGCAGGCGTGTGTGTGTGTATGTGTGTGTGTACTAGGGCCCGACTGATTTATCGGCGAGCAGATTAAATTGGCCAATTTTAGCCTGTTTGAGACTAATCAGTAATCGGCCAAAACTCGCTGATTGTCGCTGATATTTTCATAAATAAAATGCGGAGAATAATATGCGCCATTTGACAAGATCCCCGGACTTATCCTGTAGATGGCGCAGCGACCCCATGACAATCTTCATCCACTAACTACCTCACAGCACAGCAGAGTGACGGATCTGAAGCAGGCAGCTGTAGGGACGCACGGAGTAGAGTGGTCCACCTCAACGGCAAATAAACCAGTTTGTGAAATACACAATAAGTCAACAAGTTTCAGTTCAACCCACTTCATGATGTTCCCCGCTGTGCTGGTCACGGTCACCCCGAGTTAACGGTGAAGCACCATGTAATATGCAAGCTAAAGTTAGAGTTAGCCATCTGCTATTAGTCTTGCTACACTGTTAGCCGTGCTAGTAACAGTAGAATAAACAATAGTACACATTACGTACTTGAGCTACTTCTCTTACCAAGGCAGCTGCATGTCTCCAGATGAGACCGGACTGGAAATGTGTAACGTGAGTTAAGACTCGGAGGCACCGATCGGCGAGGGATGGTGGTGGTTGAAAACGCTTTTCTGGTCTGAGTTTGATTCATGATAAATATGTGGAATATTACTGAGGTTAATGCTACTGAGAAGTGTTTGAAAGGCTCAAAAGCAGCCATTTGTTAAAAGGAATTAGTAAATATGTTGATATATTACTTCAATTAACAAAATTTTAAAACTTCATAAAAAATTTAAAATATCGGCCGATTAATCGGTAATCACATTTTTTTCCTCTCTAATAATCGGTATCGCATCGGCCCCAAAAAATCCATCTTGGTCGGGCCCTAGTGTGTACCAGCATTAAGTTGCAGAGGTTATAGTCCCGTTAAAGATTGAAAAACAAGTGCGTGTATGTAACCATGTATTAACAATTGGGAGCTGAGGTTAAAGTATTGGTGCTTAGTGCTGTATAAAACATATAAGCCCAGTGGTAATGTATACAAGAATGTAGGCTAGTCCCCACAATAGTAGAAAAACACATGCTTGTGTGTGCACTGTATTAGGTTTCCTGTTACTCTCACCTTTAGACAGTCATTAGGACTGGCATGTGTATAATGTTGTGAGCACATGATTTTATGGTAACTGCCCTTACCAGAGCGTGTCATAAGTTTACTATTAGAGCTGATGTGTCTTCAGGGCAGCTATTAGGGCAGTTTAGATGACGGCCTCGTTCAAAGAGTGTCTAATATAGGTGGAGACAACATGATTTATGATGAATCCTGATGGTGGTTGGATTTAAAGGAGCAGGTTGCACACCTGGCAGTAATTTTCTTCAATTTGTTTGGCTGTGTATGTTTAAAGCCACACCGGCATTGTACTGTGGTGTGTGTGTGTGTGTCTGAAAGGTCCCCCTCTCTTTGTGAGCCTGTCCATGTGCTGCCCTGATGTTCTGTACCTCTGTCCTGCCGTGCCAGGTGGCGTTGGTGATGGGGTCCAAGACAGAGCGGGCGGTGCTCTCCTGTGAGAGCGGCGAGTACACTGCCAGCGGGGAATGCTGCCGGCAGTGTCCACCTGGAGAGGGAGTGGTGAAGAAATGCGGGGCTACACAGACAGTCTGCGCCCAGTGTTTGGACAGTGAGTACAGATTTATCATTGTTTGCTGCTAAGTTGCGCTGAATTTATCAGACTAAGTTCATTACATCCAAGAGTTCCCCTGATCAGTTTCGAATAAAGTGCAGAAAAAGCTACAACATTGGTACCCCTCTCTAACAATGTTCTTCCTATGTTTATAGTTGTAATTTTATTAAGTAATGATGAATAAAATTATTATTATTAGTCTTATTGAGACTATTATTTTGTGTAATGTTCAGTAAGCGTCATTTGCCGGACAGAACTGATATATTAAGAGCTCAACACAACTCAACTTTATTTGTAAAGCACTTTAAAACAACCATAACTGAAAAAAAAGCTGTGCATTAATATACAAAACAATCAATATACAATTAAAACAATGGAAAAAATAAAAGCAGATATTAAAAAGTAATATATAGTTTAAATGCTTTTAAAAACGAATTTAAAAACATAAAAAAAAAAAAAACTAAAAACAAACCATAAAACACTAAAACAGGAGTCTCATGCAGGGTTGAAAGCCAATGAATAAAAGTGGGTTTTAAGACGAGTTCAACTAAGATACAGTAAATCAAAGCTACTATGAGGAGTTACTCTCATAATTTGAGTATCTATGCGACTACCTGGGGTCGGTGGACTCATCAGGTAATACACATTTATAAGAAGTTTTTGATTAAGAAATAGACTGAATTCACCTTGATGCCTTATCCTGATATTCAAAAGCAAACATGACCATCAGGAGCAAGATTAAAAAAATTTATATTGTAAGTTGAGTTGGTATCAGCCGAGCAGCTGAAGAAGCCTTTTTCATATTGAATATACACAATTAAAGAAATATTTCACTATAATTACTCAGCAGGATGAGATTTCTGGTGAAAAGTTTTTGAAGACAAGATACATGAAGACTGTCTTGTCCACAGGGGTGCCAAAGTTGTTCAAGTTCAATTTTGTTGTAACCTTGTTGGGACTTCAGATGCTGCATACATCTAAACATCAGCCCACATGATTATGAAACAGCTTTTCCTGTTACATGCTGTGACATGACAGTTGTTTGTAGATTAGAGGCAGACACTCATTGGCTGATGAGCCCGCTGACGTCAGGTAGTCACAGAGACACTAGATCATCCATAAAATATTATGTACTGTGTGATAAAAGCTAGATGATAATTGATTCTGAATTACATTTATATGGTTCTGTGGCTACTTTAGAGCCATTTTCCAAAAAAACGAAATCTAGTAAAGTGTTGTTTAGTAAGCAGAAAGACCATTGTAATCCTGTACATAAATGTCAACATCTTTAAAAACTTTGTAAATAAGCAAATTATCTGATCTTGATTCTGTGATTTTGAGGTTTTTTCTTATACACCATTACTCGTCACTGTTATGCTCTGAGCTGTTGAAAAATCTCCCTCTGAAGTTTGTCTGAAAAACGTTACCACAACATGTCCTTCCATAAACCTCCCTGCCAGCACATTTCTTCTTTAGTAAAATATGGTTTCAATGAAATCTGCTGACAATCTGTTCAAATCTGCTTTTTCATTCCCTTATTTGGGCAAATCAACCCTGGAACAGAAAGAAACAAACAACCTTAAACATTAAAATGCAAAATCTTGACTTTGCAAAAACTGCGTTTCCTGAAATGTGTCAAACTTAACTGGATTATCTGGAGATGATCAAACTCAGTGTAGACACATGTACAGTGATGCACATCTGCAGAACTGCATGTCATCAGCAGTGTTACACATGCTGCACACATATATACACGCACATTCATCTGAAACTTTCCTCACTTACATCATCTTTATTTTCACATCCATCTCATTTTGTTAGCGTACAATGATTGAACAGGCCCTGAACTCTAAAAACAAAGGAACATTGAAGCCAAAACAAACTCTTATTGTCCAATTTGTATGAAGTATCTCCCTTCCCTTGACTGTCTAGATAAATAAAGCAGGAATTCATATGTTTGAAGCTTATAAGTGGGTCCAAATGTGTTCGCTTACAGCTTAACTCAGGCTGCGAACCATTAGCACTTGCTCTAGACCAGAGCCGGGAGAGGTGCCAACTCTGCAACATAAAAAAAAAAAAAAAAGTGAAGAAGAAGAAGATACAGAAGAAGAGGTGCTGCAAACTGTAGTGCTCTTCTTAACTCTGGGTTGTCTTTATGTCCTGGCTCTGCAGCTTTTCTTGCCCTTTAAGATGTTGCTGTATGTCAGAGCGCTAAGTAACCGTCAAAGTGTAGGTCAGGAGGACTGCTGCATAGGTCAGGAGGGACAAGACAATAGTATCACACTCTGCAGTGATACCCTGTCTTACTCTTTTACAGCCCAGGCACATGAGACCGAGACTGTGACAGAGAACTGTGGGTGCTTTATGGATGCATTGAAACATCCCGGCACATGCAAACAGCGGTAAACATTGCATAAGCAGCTTTGATTTCTGCAGGAAAAAAAACACCCGAACAATGTCTAACTGGATCTAATTTGTGGTAATGTATTAGACTCTGGAAGAATGCTTGGAGGTTGTTTGTACAAGGAAAACAGATACTCTGATTAAAGTTAAACTTATTTACAAAAGCAGATGCTAATCTCGGAGCTGTGTTACATTGTTGAGAATTTAAAGTGTGGCTGATTTTGCCACTTTGAAGTTTTTCATTCTTTGCCTCTGGGAAATCGAGAGCTGCAGCGATGGGCACAGGAGGCAGGGAGTCAATTCTCAGTGTGGAGAGTGAGACAGTGCCACAGGGTAAGAAAAAAGAAAAAAACAACAAAGCACAAAAGAAACAGAAGTCAATTTCACATAAACCAACTCTTGTCAAACTGAGCCAAGGTTGGAATGGAAAATCACAGGCATGAAATTGACAAAAATGAACCAGGTGTGAGGGTTTGACTGGAATAAGGTAGACTGATGATAGTTTTGCACCTGTGCAGTTAAAAATCTGGTCACAGCAGAGGATTGTGAGCGGGCAGAGTGATCAATCGTCAAAGGTTGCTTTTAATAGTGGGGCTCCAGAGATGTGTTTAATGGAGGAGCAGCTTCAGCTCGGACTCTGAATCCAGTTTGACGTCACAAGGATTTTCTCTTTCGCATCATTTTCTTGCTGTAAAAAGTGGTCAGCGGTGCGTAGACGGTAACCCGCTGTTCCGTTTCCCCTCAGAGTGAGCTGGACATCACGACTCCACTCCTAATGAGGGCTTTTTCCAACCTCTCTACCATCCCCCACCCTTTACTTCAGCGAATCCCACCAACTCTTGTCGTGTCTCCTCTTTTCTCCATCCTGTACTCGCTCCTGTCAGCCAGAACCCCCTTCTACCCCCACCTCATCCCCCTCCCTCTCCCTTTTGCTATGACTCATCGTCTGTATTAGCGGATAAAATGGTATTAGAGAGCCAGGCACCAAAGGGCACGATCTGCTCATTCATCATGCATACCGTTACATCAGTGCATCTTTACTCATTTGATCCAGCTAATTAAACCATATTGAAAAGCCTATTGTGCCTCTAACAGTGAACAATTATCTTGCTCGGCATTACAGGAACGGTTTTCACTGCTGATGAACACTCAACAATTAAACTCAAATACCCCGGAGGGTGCACTCGATTCCAGCATGAGAACTCTCCTTTGGTTTCGATATTGTTTTTGTTTCACAGGATAAAATTTTAATGTACCTGAAGCTCACAGGAGCAAATAAACCCCAAAACAACCCCAATTCAAGAGTAGTTTATGGGTGCTGTGTAAAATTTTAGGGTGTGCAAGTCATTTCAAGGCTGTTTGGAATTGAAAATGGAGCGAAGACAGCTTCTCAGAAGTTGATACTGAGTATATTTGTAATGCTTTTTTCTTGATAAAATATGTCAGCAGCTCAACACCTAAGGGTGTCCTTTGTAATATTTTGACTTTAAGTTTTTAATGGATGACGTGTGGAGTGTAGCACCTGGACTCCTCTTCTAGCACAGGATTGTGGTGCAGCATTGTCCTGCTGAAAAATTCAAGTACTTGCTTGAAAAAAAACATTGTCTCAGTGGCAGGATATGTTGCACCAAAACCTCTTCATATTGCTCAGAATTAACGTTGCATCTACAGATAAGAGAGCTACTCATGCTCTGGGTACTTATGGGCACTTATCTACTTATGAATGCCTATATCTTCAAGGATACTGGCTTTTGAACTGTGTTAAGAAACTTACAAGAATTGACCCTCTTTTTTTTTTTTTTTTTTTTTTTGAAAAGGTAGTAGTGTCTATAATTTCCAAAAGAATGTCAAGTTTAAAAAAGTCTAACCACAGGACAGTTTTCAGCTTCTTAAACAGGCTTTAGAACACAGAAGTCAGCGGTAATTGTCGATCATGTTAACACATGGTGCATTTTCAACTTTCATTTATGGATTTAGTAATAAACTGATTGAACTGAAATTGATGTTTGTTTTGGTTTTATGTATTAACACCAACCTGCTAATGGGACTGGGGAAGGGAATTAGCTGCTTGGCTATAATCCCATGCATTTACATGTAAATGTTCAATTATGCATATTTTCCCATATAAATAAAAAAAACAAAAATCCTTAATCCTAAACTGTTCTTGCAGATGATGGAATTTTTAAGTCATTTTTAGCCCATGTCTGTTATTAATGCAGTGAGAGTCCAAAACAGCCTGACCATCTATGACTGGGTATGTACAGATAATTTTCATATTATAGATGTTATGGACTTTAGATCATGATGCGGATGATGAAGTCCTTAAATCCTTCAGGCAGAGAAACGTCATTCTAAACTTGTTGAACTCTTTGCTCATACAGGCTCTCATAAAGTCCTGAACCTCTTCCCAGTTTAACCTCTGAGAAACTCAGGTTATGTAGAAAACTCTTTGAACTCTTAGTCATTTTACTAACCTGTTTTAAATATTTGGGAAATGTCCCTTGAAGATGTTGTCTTTTTTCCACGTGTTAACTTTTTGTTGTTTTGTTGTTTCTGTCTTAATTTTTTGACACTTTTTGCATCAAATTCGCAAATATTACTCATCAAATGGAATTTCTTTTTCAGCTTTACCATTTAATTTCTTGTCTTTGCACTATTCTCAATTAAATGTAGGGTTTAAATGATCCAGAAAACATCAAATTCTGCTTTATCACCATTTCACACAGGATCCCAACTATTCTAGATTTATGGTTGCGCTAAAATAAGAATAAGTTGGATTTCCCTGAAAGCGAGAGGGGGAAACTTTGACCTTACCTGAAAATTTTTATCTATAAATACATTTTCTAAAGTGCAGAAATGAATAATTGACAAGTAGAGCTCATGGCATCCATTTCCTGTTTCATTGTAAATATGGGTGAATCTTTATTTATAACCCTCCCAAATCCCCACTTCCTGTCTAACCCCCCATCCCCTGCCCCATGATCCTTGCTTGGGATGAGTGCCAGCGTCAGCAGCACTGAAATATTCATCAGTCTTCTCCACTTTTCTCTGCTGTCATGGGAGACAAGGCGAGTGGACCTGCCTCACTTAGTGAACCGTTCAGAGAAAACTTGCCCTGAAAACTGATTGAAGATCTTAGAAGAAAAAAAAAGGCCAAACCACACAAGTCAATGTAGCATTTAGGAAGAGCCTCTTTGGGCTGGATTGAAAGTCAGCAGGGATTTGAAAGCGGAAGGAAAAGTAGAACCACAGCTTTGGTCTGATGAGAGCTGAAACACTGTCAAGAACTGCATCCAAGCCTGGATCATGAGGGATGAAGAAAGCGGAAATGGAGATTTCTCCCTGGCAGGCCTTCACTGGCGATGGCATCAAACCCTGAAAGCTCAGCGCAGGATACATGAGCAGCTTTCCTCCTCTTTGGTCTCCTAATAATAGCTTTGGTAATATCCTAAAACACCTGTTTCAAATCAGCAGGGAAGCTAAGTAGACCAATGAAGCGAGGCGATAATTACGTACAAAAATGCTGCATGTTGAAAAAGGCAAATAAAGCTGTCACGCAGCTTTCTGGAGGCTGGTCATTTCTCCCCAGTCAGCGCAGAAAAAGGACGAAGATGGTGTTTCCGCTGAAATGTAGACCGTGACGCTTCATAGAGTGGGAGAAGGGCTTTCCCTTACTAAAAGCTTACACCTAAAGTGCTGATTGTAGAGATCAGGGGGCAGTTTCAAGGCTGTCCACAGTTACATTATTGATGACACTAATGGGAGCGGAACACATCAGTGTTTTGAGGGGGGTCTCTTTAGAGGCTGAGGTGGCACATTTTAAGTGCATCATCCCCCTGGTTTACAGCGGCCTCTTCCTTTACCTGGCCTTTTTTGCTGCTCAACACGGAAACTGATTGCTGGGATGTGCTGGTCATCGCTCAGCTGGGGACAATTAAGAGAAAGCTTCATATTTTATTAAAGAGGAGACACTACTCTCCACCTGATTCTTCATGACCTTTTTCTTTCCTTTTTTAGCACCCCGATGAAAGCGCACACACACACACACACACACACACACACACACACACACACACACACACACACACTCTCTCTCTCTCTCTCTCTCTCTCTCTCCTGTGCCTGTTGGGCACCAGCTGCATATGGTCACATTTACATGTGTTTGCACACAAGGACTGGAAAGAGACTCATGCATGCAAGTTAAAATTAGCGAGGAAGCCTGCGCGCTGCTGGATAATTTTGATGAATGAGCAGAGATTTACTGGCTGAGCCTGACTGCAAAGTAAACAAAGGCTTGAAGCTCATAAATTCAAACAACTGTTTACCTCTGAGGACTGATATTTATCAATTCAGTCAGTGTCACTGTCCTCTTTTGGATCGTGACAAAGGGAAAGGCTGAATCTGATAGTGTGCTTGTGTGTGTGTGTGAGCATTCAGAGAAGAAACAGAGCTAATTAACAACTCGAACCATTCAGCTTTCAGTGGCATGTGAGTCCATCCTCAACACTTTGATCTCTCAGTTATGCTTTCCTGACAAGCCCACCCTCCAAGAGTTTCTGTCTCCATCAGAAATTCATTCAAGTAATTCGAGCAGACTCAGCCTTCCCGCTCCCTCCCTACCTGCCTCTGCATCACTTCCCTCCCTCTGCTGTCTTCAGGCTGCCTGTATAATGTGACAACCTTCATCTACAGCTTCTTAGCTGTGCTGCTGTTTACAAGGTGTTTAGAGCTTCAGTCTGTGCCAGTGTTTACTCGACAGAGCCGCTTACGAGGCAAAGGGAGTGCTGGGACATTGCTGCGGGGCTTTTCACACTGACAATCTGCTGTTTCTCAACACGTCACCCACCGAGCAGGAAAAACACTCACTCTCAGACATATGTGACTGTAGATAAGAGGTGTACCACATATCCACACAGTCATGTGGCTTTTTTTTACAGCTCCACCCAGTCCAAATAACTCTAAACCAGTGTCGACTTGCTGCACGACTCAATATGTAAAACAGGCATTTGATGGTGTAACTAAACCATTTTAAATTCTTATGTCATGATGAAACTTCTCATGCTGCACACTCGACTTCTTCATGTTTATATAGACACAGAGGAGTAGGCTACAACATTTCACTTTAAGTCTGTGATGTTTTATCTGTTCTCATGTTAACTCGACAGAAAGCTGAAAAAGTAGAGCTGAGCTGTATGACACTTTCGAATTCAGCCTCTTTATCAACTTCCCCTTTCATTCAACCACTAAGTGGCACTGGTACGATGCCCACTCACACCCTCCCCCTCTTTCTGTATAAATAATTCAGCGGGCATCCAATTATAACCAAAAATAATTCTATATGAACGTACAATATTAATAAATTACCTTGTGCTGGAGGAAACTGAGTAAAACAAGGCTAATTCAAGGTCATAACTTCCTGGATAATGAACTCAGCTGAAGCTTTCTGGCCTGTAATTAAAAAGTACCGGGCAATTAGCCAGTAACGCTTCACCTTATTCTATGTAAGGCAGCTTTTTACAGCTCAATGGTGAATATCTACATCACAGCTGTTAATTTAAGATGAAAATTTGAAGAATAAAAAAAAAACGCTAAATCAACAAACCAAGAGATTGACAGACCGTCAGACAGAAAGTTGGACAACAGTTGGCTAACTCACAGCAAAACTCACAGCATTGCGCTCCATAACTTACGACATTTTCAGATGTTGTGAATGTTAAACCGGCATGATACAGAGCTTAGCAACTTCTGATGTTAGCATTTTAAACATTTTTCCAGTCAAAGCTGACCCAGCTCTGATTTTAGCTTCACATTTAGCGTAATGGTGGTAAAAATCCTTTCACCAAACTCCTGGTGAGAAAAGTCATCTTTACAACTGTCCATCTGTTCTTTTTAAATCGTTAAGTGACCAAGGCTGGATTAGGTTTTCTTCAAAACATTAAAATTGTGTGTGTTTTAGAAACTAAAATATTGAAACATGCTGGCAGTTGCCAAAAAGTCAGGTTGCTGTTAAAATGCTGCTGCAAGAAGATACAGAATTTATGTATTTGGTGTATTGATGAATCCATACTATCAGTTTTGGTCAGTTGTCTAAAGTGAGATAGCCCGATTGGTAGGTTGGCCAATTAATGACATCTTAATCGGTATCAGCCCTTACAAAGCCAATATCATCATTATCTATCCAAATGAAAAATGCATTTGATAGCATATCAAATCTAAGACTGACTAGTGTTGGCATTATTAAATAAAATGACAATGTGACATCAGCATTATCGGCCAACCTGCTCTCCCAATATCAGCACTGACCTTTGAAAAGCTGTAATCTATTGACCATTAGGGAGTTTATAAACAATCTTCACAGTTACTATTGTAAAATTAAATAGCTTTAACTAAAAACTAACACAATACTCTAAACAAGTTTTGTATAAATCAGTGAGTTTTTCATTGTAAAATTGTTGTGATTAACAAAATATTGAATATTTGTACATAACTGATTAAAAAAAATAATATTTTCCCCATAAATCCTGACTTTTCCAGTATTTTTTCCTCACAGTGTTGTGCCTTACGCTGCGGTGATTGTTTACTTTATTAGAGATAATTTTCTGACATTTTCATCTGTGTAACCAGGCTGATGCACCTGCGCCTCGCTCCTGTATGACGGAGATTAAAGCAGTTTACTCAGTGCAGAGCAGACACATGGAGATCAATATCATAATGAGCGCAGCAGGCTTTGACTTGCTCTAACACAAGAGCACCTTTCTTGTCCCGGAGCACAAATCACTAAGAGCCCAGTGGATCAATGTGTCCTCCCTTCTAATGAATGTGCAGTAAACATGATTAATGTCAATAGACGCACTGTTTATCCCTCTGTTTATCTCCTCGTATTTCCTGCTCCCTCCATCCTCTAACCTTCTTTGCTCTTCGCCCCTTCTCTCGTTTCTCCCCTCTCGCTTTTTTGTCTGCTCCTCTTCAACCTGTCCTCCTGTCTGCAGGTGAGACCTTCTCAGAGCACTACAGTCACACAGAGGAGTGCCGGCCCTGCACTCAGTGCATTGGCCTGATGCGGATGGAGACGCCCTGCACCGACTCCAATGATGCCAACTGCGTCTGCAACTACAACTACTTCTTCAGCTCGATATCGGGCAAGTGTGAGTCTTGTACGGTGTGCCCGGCAGGACAGGGTGTGTTTCTTCACTGCGAACACAACCACGATACTGTTTGTGAGGAATGTGTGGACGATACCTTCTCGGACCGGGAAAGTTACCTCGACCCCTGCCTGCCCTGCACCATATGTGATGAGGAAACTGAGACACAGCTGGCTGAATGCACGCCAACCAGTGACTCTGTCTGTCACAGTAAGTGTGCCGCACACTCAGGTTGCTTTCACACCTTTAGATCCAGACCAAATATAAGAAAGACACACAGGTAGCTAAGACTCAATTATTTCAAGCAAACCCGTGCAGACATGAATTGCTTTAAAAAATAAATACTTCATCGGATCATTTTAGGGTTGGCAAACTCAACATCTGTGGTCATTATTCTGTTGGTTGGACAATGTAGACACCACTTTGTCTACGACTTGAAAACGGAGATGATAAAGTCATCATGTTGTGCTTCGCTGCAAGTTATGGGTTTATTTATCTACTTTAGTGGTCACAAAGAGCTCATAAAAGAACAGGTGGTTATTGCCACAATTATTGGAGGCTATAAAAAGGCCTCATTTGTCATAACTAATGACTGATGGAAGGAAATAGGTGCAAACCAAAGCTTCTTGTGCTATGATGTAACAGGATAGTTGCCTATTGAAAACGAGTAATGAAGTCTTTACTTTAACCTTTCCTTTAGAAAACAAATTATGGACAGTCAAGAGCAGCAAATCGAATGATGAAGGAGGTTCTGGGGGACCTTTTAACTATGTTGACTTTGGTTTCTGACAACAGGCTCTTTACTGCCAGGCTATGGATCAAGGAAATGTAAAAAAGTTAAGCTTCCGAATTCTAACTCAAACTGTAACTGTACAAACACACAGTCCTTGAATGTGTAACAGGAAAAAAGAAACAACTCAATCTAGAGTGAAGACTGTTGAATTTTGGTCCTCTTTGTGGTTCTTATTCCTTGACTGGAGCACCTGAGTCGGTTTGCCAAATGACCAAGTGTGAAAGCACAATTTAAAAACAAGAAATGCCATTAAAGACCACCTGCAATTTGAAAGCTGAGTTGGAGCCATCATATAGAGTGTCTCAATCACAGTTGGAGGTCAGGCTTTCAAATGGCAGGAAGTTAAAAGCTTTCACATTAAAAGGTCAAAGACTGAAGCAGTGTCAGCTGTGAGACAATGAAAAAGCAGAAGGCAATACACAACAGGAGGAGCAGAGTGGAGCTCTTTGTGTCTGAGAGTGGAAATTAGCGCGTTTCTAAGGAAGCTATAAATTCCCTCCGGCTGGACGGGGCATGAAATCCACCTTATCAGGGGGACTGAGGCTTCAAATCTGAGTGGTCAAATGTCTTAGGTGGCATTATTCTGAAGTCTTTGATTATATCTTCAATTTGTCCTGAAAGCAGTACCAGATGGGGGATCTGTGGCACTCACAAATAATCAAAACCTCTCCCTAATGGAAAGGAGCCTCGCTCTTGATGGAGTTTGTGGTCCGTTCCTTGGAAAAGCCTCTTCCCCTGCATGTTGTTTTTCTCTTTTTTAAATGCAAACTTTGACCAGAGAGGCTTTTATGTCGAAGGGTTGATTAAATGCTCCCAAGAAAGTGCTCAGTAGCAGGCGCTTTTGCTAATGCTGGGTCTTTTATTGATCGCCTGTGTGCTTCACCACTTTTTAAATGAACACTTTAATGGTGTCGTTTGATAACAGTGTTAGGATTCAGGCTTGAGCTGTCTTATTTCTCCTTTTAAAGGTCGACCCCGTCAGACATCACTGCCTCGGATGGTTGCAGGTGTTTGGATTTGCCAAGTTAATGAAGCCTAAAAATATGTCCAATCTGTTGTAGTACAGTGAAGGCAATGGTGCCTCATCTAGGGTGTAAATTCCTCCTTTAATAAACTGTAATAGACTAGACAGAGAGTCAAATGGAGGAAGGACAGATAAGAGCAGAACTGGTAGATGAGGTGGAAGAAAGGCTAATAACATTGAAGAAGACTTTCAACCTCTTCTTTCCTCCAGAACCATCAAAGGTGCTGCAGTTTGATTTTTCCACCAGTGAATCATCACCACTGTACTCCTGCCCACCAACAAGACCTTTCTAAGATCAGCCTCTGCTGGTTTTTCTCTTTGCATTTTGAGCCATCAGGGCAAATTCTGAAATCTGGCTCAAAAAAGGGAGGACAGAAATCTCTTGCAAAACAACTACATGTTTTTTTTCTCTCTTGCAGTTTATTATTTATTTATTTATATCAACCTGTTGGTTGATCTACCTGTTTTGGAAATATCCTTGCAACTTTTAGATGTATTTTAGATGATGTGAAATCAAATCACATTTTATCCCAAACCATTTCTACAAGCTAAGCTGGTAACATTCAACCTAACCGAGTTGGTTAGACATAAGTAATCATGGTTTAGCCTTGCCACATAGTAGGGATGGGTGATAAATTATCATTCACGATATATCATCAGAAAAATTCACCAAGATAAATATTTGCCATCTCATGATAAATACGATAAATGCAAGTTTATCGGGACTTAAATCGTTATCGCCAGGATGGCAAATATTATCATGATGCATTTTTTAGCCCATATTGCCCATCCCTTCCACGGAGTCATATAGGCCACAGGCAGTTTTGCACTCCAGGAGCTGAATCTGCAACCGCTGCTGCAAGAACTATAGCACTAAGCCAGACCAGTGCCAGTCTTACTAGTCTTTCTATGTTCTTCAAAGGGGGATTAGGTGCAGACCAGGTGAGTGACACCATTTCCCTCACTTTAGACCGTAAATCTCACACAGTTACGGAGAAATGATGGCAGAAAAATATACCTCTGGTTATCCAGTCTGTTCATAAATGCATCGTCGACTTGGGCTGAAGGACCTTTGAAGGATTAAAGAGAGGAGGTATCATGCATTTTTTTCAGACTCTATAACTCCTGTCTGATACCTCTTTAATATCTTTACATGATTTTCAGTTTTAAAAAAAGCCTCAAATTTCTCACAGTGGTGTATTAAAATATCATTATTTCAGCCTCTGCCTGAAATGTTTTCTGCTGTTTTCTGCTTCTATCTTTACGCCACTCCCCCCAAGCCTACTTTCTTCTGATTGGGTTAGAGTTAAAGGTTTTCTGAAAACCTGCCTAGGGCTGAGCTCAATGTTTTGGCCCCACTCCCTCTATTGTGGTCGAGCAGAAGAGCAGCATTACCCCCATAGACATCATGTATATGATATCTATGGTTGGCCCGCTCCACTGTGGGCATACACTGTTGGAGTCAGGCTGTTCCGCTTTGACTTAAGTACAGATGAACCAGTAAGAAGCGCCAATAATTATTAAAAATTAATTTTAGAAATTCTCACACATAAACTAAGGTCTTGCATTTTCACGTGTTTATCTGAGATTGGAGCAGTTTACATCTAGTTTCTAAGATTATGATAATATAGGTTTACCTTGTGATTAGAAACTTTGCATACATGCAGTATGGACACCAAACTTTGTAACTTAGCAGTTTTTGCTGTAAACGTGGAAAAGCATGATACCCCTTTAAAGATGTGGAAGGAAGAGTAAAAGCAGACTTCAGTTTTTAAGATTCTTCAAATAACATTTTTTTTCCTTTTTATTGTCTAAATCTTACAAAGACAAACTCAGCCCACATTTAATTTACTCTGATTAAGTCTTACCTCAGTCCACTGATGGAGCATCGCCAGTTTGAAGGACCCATGAGGAGGCAATGTGACAGGACTGGCAGCCATCAAAACAAACTGCCCCTAATGCCCCATAAATATCCACAATATCCACTGATTTTCTGACTTATCTGATCTACAGTCGGCCACAATACCCTCTTTTGCTGCCCATTCATGGCCCACCCATGCAGCCTGACTCACCTTTGACCCTCCTTGTCCTGACCAATAGAGTTGTAGCAGCAGCGGCAGAAGTGACGGCAGTGACTGGATATGGAACCATAAGTGTCCTCATGGGGCATCCTTTTGAAAGGCTAGCCCTGGGTAATGGTCACATGTGGCGGTGATGATGTTTCCAGGCCCTCCATGGTGGTCTGTGCTGGCTGTGCATACAGATATGTGTTTAGCAGCAAACAGGAAGCTGCCTCGCTGGGATTCTCATTCTATTTGCTCCTTTTTAATGCAAAATAAGTAAACTGCTGCCCTTTTCTCCCTCCAATATATGATGAAAAAATATATGATTGAGTTATTTTCAAATCCCCAAATCCCTATCTCATATCCAGCTGTCACCAAGTGTCAATTACATGAAACAATGACAAAGGCAGAAACTAAGAGGGAGAAAAAAAAAGAGATAAAAACCGACAGAGGGAGGGAGGGCTGCAGCATATGTGCAGTGCTGGTATTCTATGCCGATGGGTCGATATGAGTGCTGGGATTTCTTCTGCTTATGCTCAGGTTTCGCTGAATGACCTCTATGGGCACCCACACTCGACTGCAGGACACGCACTCACACACACACGCACTCACACACACACACACACACACACACACACACACACACACACACACACACACACACACACACACACACACACACACACACACACACACACTCTAAAAAGCCAAGTCTTCTCCAGGGTTAGACTCACAGACACTCTTCATGGGCATCCAAAATCAATACGACTGATGGCATGTGCACGTTCTTCCACTCCTGCCAAGTGTGCTTTAGCTTCAACATTTTTCATTAAACTCGGACAACGCACATGTGTGAGCCGCTTTGATGTGAAATTGAAAACACCTCCGGCATGCTTTATTGGAGGTCTCGCCCTGCGCGGCCGTGCGAAAATGTGCCGTTTTTCTTTGAGTCAAGATAATTCACGTTTTACGCAGAGTGTCAAGCGATAATTTGAGTGTTTGTTCTCAAGAACAAGAGAAAAGGAGGATTAAAAAATCAGGTACAAACTGACTTCTTTTCTCTTATCACTAAGCTCATCAACCTCCCCCCTCCCTTCCTGTCTTCATTTGCTCTCTCTATCTCTCCCCACTGTGGCCCTCGAGTGGCTGGGCAACAGCGGTGGAAGGTGGCCAGCGTGCATTCAGCGCCTTCACCGCTGCAGTATAATTACTCCTGCTAATCAGAGCACTTTACAGCAGCTTCTCTGTTCATCTGCACCCCCTCCTCACCCTCTTCCTAACACTCTGCCTCTCTGTCCGCTGTCCCCCTTCTCTTCCTCCCCCTCCTCCCTGCTCTCCCTATTAACCCTCCAGAACTGAAGACAGAGTGCTCACTTGAATAATTCGTAGTACGTGTGCGTTTGATGGATGTATGCACGTCAGGCGGCAAACACAGAGGAAGATTGAGATAGTGACTGAGCGGGGACAGAGGGAGAGTGTTTGCAGGCTGATAAAGAGGTCATTGTACATGTGCTTGGCCTGATACTCGCTCATCTCCACCCTGAACTGGCAGCCGCCAAGACATCAACCTCCGCATAAGACCTCTGGGGTTAACTTCACCATAAAGACCTCAATGGCTCATAAAAATTAAGCCTTTTTTTTCCCTCTCTCGTCCACACCCGGCTAATAAACACATCTCCCCTGCACACACAGCCGAACGCTTGTAAAATCCAGAGCTAGTTTTATTTTGTTTCACGAGTGTTTGAAACCCACTGAAGCCAAAATGAAATTGCAGCTGAGGTATGCAGCAGCCTCTGTTTCTTTGGGTTTATCTTTTGGTCTGCAGCCAGCCGTGTTTTCTGCATCAGGCGAAGAAATGAAGGGAAAGAAGGAGAGCTACAATGAAGAGCTATAAAAGAGAAGTGTACTTAAGTTGGAGCAGCTCTCCATGTTGAGTCAGTGTGACGTGATTTGAAGCAGACTCCCAACAGGGCCGTCATCTTGGCTCAGAATAAGAAAGACAATTTAGATTAAGTCCTGAGGTGAGTTTATACATCTGCATGGAGGGAATCGTAACTGCACCAAAGAAAAGCACTTAGAGTAGAGGAAGCAATGAAAGAAACACAGCCCTTACTTTCTCCACACTGGCACTCACTTTGACACCTTTCATCCACGATTTATTCTATTTTCTAGCTCGAGTTGCATTGCTAATACCATTAGCTAACCCTGCATTAGCCAGATGATGTATGGCGGAGCTGAGGAAACCTGACTACATCCCAGGAAAGGTCAAGAAAAGCATGTAATACAGACACCGTGTTCCACTCCCCTGAACACTCCCTCTCTTTTAGACGGATCCAAATCAATAACACTGCCTGAAATAGACCTCCGCATTATTTCTGTGTTTCTAAGTATGGCTTGCACATGTGCTGTGTTTTTATGCTCATGTAAGATATTTTCTACCATTTCAGTAAACCAATCCCCCCCACTCACACACACATACACCCTATAGAGAGAGTAGGACTGCCTCGTCATCAGCTGGCAGACATGCAGGCCAACGTGGACTCTAATACGTCCACATGAGTTATCCATAAAGGTCCCATTTGACTATTAAAGCGAGTAAGCGTGTCTAAATTATGCAGCAAATCAATTTGGGGGAACGTGACTATCTGCCATGTCAGAGAAAAGAGAAGACATGTGGAGGAAACTTTTGACTGTGATGGTCTACTGGATTTCTGTTTCGGTTTTGGACCAATCAGTTCATCAATTTGTACTCCCTGGATCCTTCAGTCAAAAGGATACGCTTCATCTTTGATAGGACACTTAATCTCTGTCTTTTCTAGTGGGCAATTTGCTTGTCTGTTTGATATTAACATAAGGTTTTCACTAAACAATAGGGGTGGGAATCACTTGTGGCCCCACAATAAGATATTATTATGATACTTGGGCCACAATACTACATGATTGTGATTTTTTACATTTTGCAATACAGTGAGTATTGCGATACAATATATTGCAATTTATCCAATTTTTTTTCAACTGTTAAGCTAATTTAGCATTTGTCTTTCCTTCATGTTTGTCTTATTTACACAATATTTTATTTTCATGTAGCACATCTTGCAAACCTTATACATATTTGTTGGACTACCTTTCTCCTGCTCTATGATGTCTCCTCTGCCAACCTCACTGTAAAAACAGTTGATTTTATTTTTACATTATCATAGATTTGACTTCATATTAACAATTAATTTGGAAAAACTGATACTTGGTCAATGAGACCATACGATATAGACAAAATATCGCAATACTATGCTGTATTGATTTTTTTTCTCCCATCCCTACTGAACAGTGTTGAGTGATACCAGGTTAAATGTCATCCTTTGTAAACAAAAGATCAGTGCTTTTATTCTAGTTTACTTAGCAGCTCCAAATGCTTCCTCCACTTTTACTCTTTTATCCATCAGAGGGGAGTTAAAGGGAATAATAACAGAGCATCTCTGCAAAAACAATACCCCCTCATTTCTTAGTATTACCCTTAAAATGAAAAAAAAGGAAAAAAAAAAAAATAATAAAAATAAAAATAAAACACAGTGACAGCCGTTTTCTGACTTTTCAGTTTTAAAGCTCTCCCAATAAAATTGGACAGCCCCCGCAGTCAGCAGATTACTCAGTGTTACCAGGACATTGTTTCTGGAAAGACACATTGTTCTTGAATTATTAAAATGTAATTTTTCAATGCGGTGAACAGCACAATTGGAATTGTATTCTCCTCCAGTGATATAAGAGATGAGTTTCTCCAACCATGAACATTATCTGCACTGCTGGCCAAGATGTCAGTAAAGTGAATGAGAAAAGAGAGAAGAAAGCCAGCTACAGATTTAATATGTGTAGTGCATTTTCAGAAGGCATGTAGAGTGAGTAAATGTACTATAGCAGAGAAAGCTATATGTATGGCAACCACTTAGTAATCGGAGGCTGCATTTGTAATGAGTGAATCTTTCTGACTTGAGAGCTATTTCCTTTTAAAATAACAGGACATTTCTGAATCAGGACAACCCTTTAAGCACAGCGTATTTGGGATACAGCGTCCTGGTCTTTGGCCTTGAAGACAGCTTCAGGGGTCACCTCTGGGTTAATCCTGTGAGCACCAGTATGGAGCTAATAAGGAGCAGCCTGTGTGTTTCTGCAGGGAATAACAGAACAGGCTCCAATCTGAGCCGGAGTTTGTATTCTCCATCCCTACCAGGCTGCTGAGCTCAGAGGAGTTTTACTTTTTGGCCGGACAGGCCTGCCGTACTCAACCCTTAGGGAGGAAATAATCTGAACAACTCTCAGAGCTTTTCCTCCATCTGACAGCATCATGTTGTGTTTCTTACGGGGCTTTACCAAACAGAGGGACGATAGGTCAGGAATCCAGGAGAGATTTGACTTGACTTTGACTTGTCCAGAACTGTGTTTTCAGGACAAGTCCACCAGAGCAAGCATGGTGCTGCTGCTCTATGAGAAACAACACTGAGTCATTAATAGAGCTGACAAAGGAAGAAGAAAATGACAATTTATGAAAATGAGTCTTCTTTCCAGGCCGTGCTCTGATAGAAACCAGACCCTTCCAGTAGCACAGAGCTTTCCTGCCTTTCTGGCCTTAGCAGAGGCTACACTCATGGTGCTGACCTCTCCAAAGCCCCGGACTTTGTTCTACAAGGATCCATATGGCTGTAATGTCATGCAATGTGCAGAGATCAGATAGATGGCCGACGTGGTGAAGAGAGACCTGGCGTGCAGGGCTCAGGCCTGGTATGGGGTGTGCTGGTGGGTGACAGATATTTGCCCCCCTTATGGGGAACATTCTTTCTCATTCTGCACACAGCAACTCAGGCAGAAACCATCTGGCAATCAGAAACAGCTGCTGCATGTGTGGAGGATCAGACATCTGGTTGGGGACTTGGTGTCTAAACTTTCAGCAAAACAAGTGCTCACAGATAAGATACCATGCTGGCAATTTTCTTTCCTCTGACACCTCGTCTTCTAGCTGGACCAAAAGGTTCATGTTGTGACTTTAGGCCAAATAGTTGAACAACAACTGGGCTAACTGGGTCAAAATATGATGCCAACATTTATGACCCTCGGGGGAAATTAAATTGATAAAATTGTGCTCCCTTTACCTTCTTAATCTCTTTGAGCTCCAAAATGTATTTCTTTTTTATTTTAGTTTGTGCAAAATTTTTTTGATTAAGGTTATGTCCCTTATGTTTGTGGTGAGTCGTAGATGTTTTCATGCTAACAGAAAGCTGAGCCTTATAGAAACAACTAAAATTGCTAAATATCATATGCAACTCTACTTGTAACAGAGCACTTCTATAAACACAATAAATCTCAACATTTCAGCAGCATTTTACTGTCATGTTATGAGCCAAGCTGGTTGTAAGTTTACAGCCTGTCAGAGCTGCTAGCTGATGTTAAGTTGTAGTTTTGTGTTTTTGTCACTCATATGGGGGTGTTTCTTTAAAAAAATGTCCTTATGTCCAACTTTCTCCTCAAACAGATCCTCTACTCCCTACATATTTTGCTCCAACCATGGACATGGATCCATCTCCACCCTCCTTTACCAACTACTTCCTCCCTGGATCTGATAGTCCGCTACCAGGCGCTGAGACGACAACCTCTAGCTCTGGCTCGCCTCGCTTCCTCGGCCACAGGCTGAATGAAAACCTCATCCCCATCTACTGCTCCATCCTGGCTGCTGTGGTGGTGGGCTTCATAGCCTACATTGTTTTTAAGAGGTCAGTAGAAAGGACTGAGAAGAAAAGCTGCTTTGTGGTTTAGGACATTAGCACAATTGGGTTTGCACCTCTGCTACAATATAATGTGGGACGAAGAGGGTGAACACTGGTAGACAGACATTGTGGTGCGATGAGTGGCGTTGGATAGACGTTGCCTCAGGCTAAAATAAATGGGCCTAAGGTGGCGCCTGATACAATCAGGCTGGCTGCGTTCAGAGAAATTTGACCCACTTCTAGAAAATGTCCCCACTTGAATACACTACGATGAGTTTTTCTGAAAAACACAAACACTTAACACTTCAGAGCTTCACACTCAGACACACATATATATACAGACTAACACATTCACACATGCAAGCACTCATCCAGACAGATACAAGCCGTGGCAAAAACCCATTTGGAAGAAGTAAACAGGCTCATTAGTGGCTCTGCTGATTGTTCAAGAAGTGCCAACTGGGGCAAACTCAAGAGCCAGATTTTGATGCAGAGTCACGCACACATCTGGCTGTGTCTTCTGTACTGATTGTCATGTATACAGATAACAAATAATGTGAAGTTCTGTAACCCCTAACATTTTATAAATAACACTTCAGGTTGTTTACTTTGCTGTAGTGCTCAATGGCTCATGCATATTTGAACCATTCATTTACCCGTTTATCTTTTGTGAAACAAATCTCATTACAGTTATCAGTTCAGTTAACGTTCATGGGCTGACAGCTATTGCAGTTTACAAAAACATGTGAAATAATGTGAAATCTCGCCAAATTTCAATAGCAGAAAGTAAACAAAAGAAAGTTCTCACAGTATAATGTTAGGCCTAGCTAAGTTTAGCATAGCAGTTAAGCTAACTGGTCAGATCACGATTCATTTCCTTCTTTCTTTCGTTCAGGTGGAACAGCTGCAAGCAGAACAAACAGGCAGCCAACAACCGCGCGGCTACAAACAACCAGATGGTGACACCAGAGGGAGAGAAGCTGCACAGTGACAGCGGCATCTCGGTTGATAGTCAGAGTCTGCAGGAGCAGCAGCAGCAGCAACAGCAGGCCCAGGCTGAAGTCCAGGCTCAGCCTGCACACTCTCACGCACCGGAACAGATAGGTAAGCCTAAAAATCCCTTTCCCGATGTCTTTGAACAACATCTTTACATAGCATGTAGTAGCTCTTCCTGACTGAATATTCATCACAGAAACTCTTACCTGACTTGAGGCACTCATCCAGGTTCAAACACATTTCTCTTTCCCTCTGTGGGGTTGCAGCTGCCACAGAAAATCCTTATCGATTACTCCAAGACCCCATGCTCAGACTCTGAGACCATGTGTGGTGGTTTCTCAGCTTTGAGCAAGCATTTTTCTTAACTGTGGTTTTGGATCAAAGATAACTCATCACCTGAGAGCATGACAAGCACTGAGTTGCCAGAGCAGGTACAATGGGAAAGACCCAAACTCCAGGAGTGTTGAGATTATTATGGTCAGACCCTGGAAGTGAGGCTGTCTGTGGCCTAATTTGAGTTGGTAAGTTAAACCATCAGTACGAAGCTGAAGAATTCAGTGATAACAGCTATTTGAAACACTTTCTATCTTAGCCAGTGTTTCCCCCACATCGACTTTATTTGGGTAGCCTGCCCAAGAAGATTGACACCCACCCAAGAAGATGTAAATAGATTAATAATAATAAAAAAAAAAAATTGTGGTCAGACGGACACACAGGGCTCTATTTTCATGCCTCGCCGCAGACGTGCCGCAGGTGCAGCGTAAGTCAGGTCCAACGCGCCGACAAGGCGTTCCCAAGCACAATTTGGTATTTTGGTGAGCGGTGCAGCCCGGCTTAAGTATCCCCCCTCCCTAACTCAGCTCCTCCTTGCGGTGTAAGTCATAGCGAGTCCACTCAGTCCACGAAAATACCAAACTGGCTGTATGCTGGGCTCCGCCAGATTAAAATCTCACTGTGCGGGGTCTGCCACCCTCCGCCGCCTCACCAGCAGACACGAAAATAGAGCCCACAGACAGCAGGGTTTCCTCCAGACAAACGCGGCGCAGCGCAGGACACACTGGTGAATATGCAGAAGCGCACCCAAACTGTTGCACTCCGGCTATACTACACTACACTACACTACACTAGATACACTGCAGACAGAAACTGTCAGCTTTATAAATAGCTTTTTTTTTTCCATTTTTCCTTTGGGTTGTTTGTTAACAAAGCAACACTCTGTAGCAGTCTAAAGTTGCCATGTACTTTGAATTTAAAACAGCACATATTAATTTCTGCATTTGTTGTCTATTTATCAGTAATACAGTAAAAATGAGAGGGAATGTGAATTTTTTTGCCTTGCAAGTCAGGTTACAGCGTGCACCCCTTAAATTTCTGCTTGTGCTCCCAAAATTTTTAGGTAGGAGGAACTGTGCTCTTAGCAAAACAAGTTAGTGTGGAGCCCTGTATGTGCAATAAATAAGGCATAGTTCATAAACCTTTGTTTGACTAGATTATTTTGAATGCACTTATCAAACAAAACGGCACCGCCCAGCCCACCACCAAAAGTAAATTCTCAACCTCAGGGAAACAATGTAAGCTTTCATCACATTTCAGAACTGCAATGCAATAGGAATGTATGTAACTGCATGTGTTTGATCTATATTTACAACTCTAACTACTCCTCTGTATTTAAATGTGTTTCACTTTTTCTCACTCAGAAAGTATTTTAGTTGAATGGCTGTGAGGTAGACTTAAGTCATGCATGCGAGACAAAATCGAAAAGGTTTTGTGGGATTAACTCAAGAGATCATGTCTGGCTTGGAGGGATAAAACCAACATTATGCGCTTCTGATCTATTATAAAGCAATTTGCAGTCTCCTTTTATTCACTTCACTCTGTGCAGTGCATTAAGAGGGAGAAACTGTTTGGTTTGAAGGACTTTTTACAAAAGTTTTCTGCAGCTGCAATAGAACAAAAATTAGCCTACACTACTTTCAGATCATTTTTCAAACATCCTCATTAGAAGAATATCACAATCGTCAACAAATTCAATGTGCGCACCATAACTTGACATAAATAGGCAAATATAAATCTTAAAAATAAGCCCCGAATATCTGTGCGTGTGTTTCAAAGAGTAGATCATTTATATAAAAGGCTGATCACTGCAGTCTGCAGGAAATGTTGCTCAAACTGGAAAACTTTTAACATTTAATGGGGACTCCAGGGAATTCATATAGAGTTGTTTTTGTCTCATTGTTGGACTTTTTGAGTGGTTGTAACTCTTATCAATAATACTGCATATTACTGCTCTGCCCAATATCACTTCCTTTAGATACTTGAGTCACACTATAACACAAGAAATGATGCTTTTTATTCAGAGTGAGAATTTGTCAGGGAGGATAACCTTTAAACAGCTCGGAGAATAAAAGCAGGTGCTGCAGAAAAGAGATGTGACCTCTGCAAAGAGGTCTACCTTCCTTTAATACTCCAACAGCACTTGTATATTAAAGAGATGAAACCTGAGTTCTGAATCAATCTTTACTGAAACCTGAGAGGCTTTTTACCTGAAGATGAAGTCTGAAGTTCAAACACGATCTTGTTAGTCATTCAGACATTCCTGCCTCCCCTCTCTGAGTATCTCATATATTTTCCTTGTGGTTTTATGGTGAAATGAAGCTAAGCCCCAAAAATGGTTTTACGAGGATAATGATGTGCTTACAAGCCGAAGAGCTGATAATTCCTTCCTCAAACAATCCCCACCACTGTGTCTTTTTTTGGGATAGCCATTACATTCTAATGAGGCTTGGGAAAAGCTGATTTTGTTTTGTGTTCAGTTTGAGCCCATTCTTCCTCTCAACAAATGCAAACCCCTCTGCATGCTGAAGAAAAGAAGGAATTTCTTTTGGAGAAACAGCTCAATGAGAAGATGACTGCACAGTTAACCCTGTCGCCTCTTCAACTGATTGGCTCATTAGCAGGTGTTATGAGACGGGAACCAGGCTTGGTCCTGCTGCCTTTCAAAACCTGATCCAGCATCAGTATTTAGGACGCGCTAATTGGCATTAGCACCGTCTATGGGTGCGGAAGCTGTTAAAAAGGCAGCAAACGGTCTCGTGCTGGGGAACACCAGTTCCAACTTGGTGTGTTAAAATACACAAGAGGGTGAGAATATGCACCATAAATCCACGATAATCGCGGGGGGCTTCCTGTTTCCAATGAACCATTTTTTACTGAGGACTAAAATAATGGGAACATGGGTCAAATAAGCCTTTTAAAGAGAACTAGAGCAGGGAAAAAGTCTCATGTTTTGAATGACAACACTCAGAGAGGGTATTCCCTGCATGAGTCACCACTGCAGGGTAAGAGCGTCTACTTTTACAGCGCTCAGCCTCATTTCTGTCTGCTCATCTCCATTAAAAAGAACGGTCTATCTATGCAGCACTTCTCTTCCCTGCCCCCCTAAAGCCTCTTTTGCAGCCTGCTTCTTCCCCCTCTGAGTCGTGCATATTGAATGTGTTTAAAATTTAAACAAAACTCTAAGCCACCCATCCCTGCCCTGTATTTGACCTCACAGTCAACACAAAAGATATGCCAAAGCAAATTTGACTTCAAAAATCAGCTAAAAATGGTGCAGCAGCAGATGATCAGCTGAGTATTTCAAACACAGGTGGATTTTTATCATCAGCAGTTTTTCTTCCAATAGCAACAGATACCCTGAGCGAGAGTGACCTTGTTTTAGCTCTACAACCAACTATTGAGGGATTCCTGCTCAGTTTTGCTGAGTGCTTGTAATGCTGGTCTACAGCCTGAGGGATCTATGGGGGGTTTAACAGAACACAGTCCCCATGTGCAGTGTTATCTACAAGCAAATTACAGTAATAATGTTGCTGAGTCACACATCCAATCATCATCGTAATTTCAGTGATATTAGATGGGTGACTCATGATTTGTTGCCTCCACACACATCAGGGAGTTTTGGAAACACAATAACATCACCCATCAGTATTCTTTTGGTTTTTGTTTTTGGCCCTATAGGGGCCATAAAACCAGATTTAGATTTTATTAAGTCCATTTCAACTTTAAGAGACATGAAATATTGAGGAAAAGGAACCAAACACACTTAGAGTACAGCACCTCATTCAGACAACAAAGTTTATTGCAGTAGTAAATCAGTGTTTGTGTTTGACATCCAGACTTTCTATCCTTATCACTTTTAAACACAGAAAACTGAGGAGTGCTAAGATTATATCTGAAACCCCCTATACCTGTAGCCTGCAGGTTTCGATGGAAGCTGTGTAGATGGTGGTGCTGGAAATTAAAGGGATGTCCTGGCGTAAAATAAGTTATGGTCAAACACAACTGTAACACCAAGTTAGACACCTCCTTGAGAGATGAATGTTGCCGACCACTTGCTTCTCTAGTTATACCAACTTCAGCAAAGACTGCACGATAGCAATACACAGCAGTCTATGGCCATAGTACTGGCCACCCAACATCTTTTTAGCTTTGCCTGGTTTCTTTAGCAAAGAGACCAAACACAACTCACCTACTCTCTTCCAGCAGCCGCTTTTTGTGGGGAAGCCCTGACGAGTCGATCACCAAGTGCAGTGGAAAATTTACGATTATTACTTCATGTAAATGCAATCAGACCGAGATGCTAAGGCAGAAGAACTACCACGTCTGCAGTGCAAAGTGATTATGATGATTATTTCTTTATGGAAATGATCCACTGCACTCGGTGATCGACCCGTCAGGGCTCCCCCACAAACAAGCGGGTTCTGGAGGAGAGTGGGTGAGTTGTGTTTAGTCTCTTTGCTAAAGAAATCAGGCAAAGCTAAAAAGATGTTTGGTGGCTAGTACTGTGGCTGGGACCCTATATGTACTGTTGATGAAGTTAGGTCCTGTTCTGAGCATTATTTGTGGCTTTTTGGTTGAGATGTGAACATGGAGAGGTAGACCGCTGTGTATTGCTATTGTGCGGCAACATTCATCTCGAGAGGGGGTGTCTAACTCAGTGTTACAGTGTGTTTGACCCTTATTTAATTTTACGCCGGGATATCCCTTTAACTTCCAGCACAGGTGATGGTAAAGTGGAGGGAGCAATTACACAGCTTGTAGACTTATCCTGAACATGTGCATGGAGTCATCATACTAAGTTATCATAAAAGGCCTAAACGGAGGCCAACAGGGAAGAAACACTCTAAAAGAAATAATCTGAGATTAAGAAAACCAAAGCTGTTTTGAGTTTGGTGGTAACTGCTGAGTTTGTATGGGATTTCAACACAATGATTAATTGATAATTAATATAAGACTAAACAAATTTCTAAGTACTCTAAAAAAAAAGAAAAATGGAAAAACCTGCACACAGAGTTGGTGCTCAAGTTGGAGGGAGGTCTTACCTTACCCTCTTATCTGTCAGATACTATGATTATATTTTGCATATTTGTACACCACAGCCAAGAGTTTAAAAGATCGCTGTAAAGCTTTCCGTACTCAAGTCACAATCAGCAGTTAAGGGAGCTGGATGATGGCTTAGGGTTCAATCAGTGTTGCCTGAGTGTGCTGAATAAAAAGAGAGAAGAAGAAGAAGAAGAAGAAAGAAGTCGGTAACAAAGCTCTGCTGTGATTGGGAGTTCACATTTCAGTGGATTGAATTGATCCAGGGAAAGACAGCTTGTATTGATTTTTCCCAATGCGACTGGACTCTATAAAACATTGAATATCCATGTGGTCATTGTTATCCATGCTGCTTTTGCAATGAGGTGCAATAGTAGCTGGGAAACAGCTGCACTGAGGTAGAAGAATAGGTGCAAATCACTGCGCTTATGTCTGCACATTTGTTTCTTACAGATGTCTTTGCACTGTCTCTGCTCTTTGTCTCAGATGAAGCCTGTAGAGTATCTGTTGAAATAGGAAAGATGAGGAGAAAGCTCTTGGGACTGTGGCCTTCTCTGGGTAGTCAATCTATACAGGGTCATGGACATCCAAGTGTAATTTATAGCAGAAAAATGTGGAAAATATAAATTTTTGGATGGTGAAAGGAAGGAAATTAGAGATGGCTGGTTGGGGGTGGTTATGGCGTCACAAGCAGACAAAAGAATCCCCATTTCTAAGGCTTTAAAATAAACTCTCTTGTACTATGCTCCCCTGGCACAAGGACGCATTTATAAAGGCGAGAATACACCCACCAAACTTGGGGGTCCTCTGTGAAACGCCTCTGCATTCCCTCAGTGTTTCCATGGATGCCGTCAATTGAAAACAGGTTAAGAGGTTTGTGGGAAAAGAGAGCGTTTGTCTCCCATCCTCATCCGCCTAATGACTCCAGTTGAACAGGTTTAGATGAGTGGGTGACACCACAGGGCCCCCTGCAGGGAAAAAAGTGATCATCAGGGTTTGTTTTTTCTTTTTTTTGTCCATCAAGGACAACTTAGAGTATATTGGCATTTGTCTAGATAGGAAGTTATGATCTTTGTGATGCATAAAAAGATTTTAAGGTGTCCTTGTGGGCATATGCAACAGGTTAAAGTGAAAAGAAATCACCCTTGGTTGATTGAAATATCACCACAAATCACCTGTCTGTTCTCTCTCTCTCTCTCTCTCTCTTTCTGCAGTGGTGAGGGTTGATGGTGGTGCCCAGCCTGACACACCTCCCCCTGAAGTCTGAGGAGGACCAGGATAAAACGTCAGAGATGAAAAAAAAAAAGGAGAGAAGAGTTGGGACTTGAAAGTGGACCAAAAACTTTAGCATGGGGGGGCCACATGGGAATGTAAAACTGACTCCAGTTCATATCCGAAGTGGCCACAGTGCAAAGACTTCAACTTTAAAGAGTCTCCCAGCACCTTTGGGCCAGTCTGACTCTTCATCCCTGCACACAGTCCAAATCTCCCCGTCAGTGTGCCTGGACAGGAACTGTAGGGCAATATCAACCACTATCTGTACCAATTACACAGCAGATACATAATCACACAAAATGCCAGTACATCTTATAGTGAAAAAACAATTCAGATATCTAATATTCACACTAACTGCCAATTTAGCTTCCCCAAGCCCTCCGTAATCGTACTATTTTCCCTCTAAATCCACGATCACTAGCCATGAAACGTATGTGCCTGAAATGGAAATAGGCAGACAGGTTCTCCATGATCTCCCCTTTCTTTTCTCTCTCTTCAAAGAGACCTTTGTATCGTCCTCTGTGGCATCCCACTCTCTGATAATCCTCCGTCTCCCTCTGTAGGAGTTGCTCCATTAGACCCCCGATGCAAAAAGCAGCGGGGGAGCCGTGAGTCACTTCCAACTTCTTCTGAAGTTTCTTGTTCTTTTTTATCATTTAACCATGGACGCATTTCATGGCATGTTGTCTTGTGAAGTATTTGCGTCATTGTTTAGAATGACAGCTCTGGCTGATGCGAGTGACTCATATCTAGGAAGAAAGGTCAATCGCTGCACAGCCCTCTTGGTAATCAACTATTTATTTCTCTTTTTCCTGCACTCTGTATCCTCTCTCTGACACAGACCCTTCACTGCGCCTCGAGGGATTGTATTTCAGTAATTTCATGCTTGTAATGTAACACACCAGAATGTTTGGCTCCTGTTTGAGGTGCATCACTTTCATATTGAGGCTAGGGTTACACGGCTGATTCAGCAGTGTGCTTCCTAGCTTCTCTATGGAGCCTGGATGTGCAACATGAGAGAAGCATCTCCTGGGCTATGGAGCTTTGCTGAGTCAATGTGGTGGGCCGACTTCTCTGGGTATGACATCATCGGTGTCCCAGCATACGCAGCTGCTAAATAAGCTGGAGCTTTGATGAACTTGATGCACAGAACGTGTGCAAAAAGGAGCCCCATCTGTCATTGCTTGCACTTGCTGTGTGAGAAATTGGGACACCCCCTCAGAGGCAAACTCTTCACTACCCCCTTCCCGGTGACAGCCCCACCCTCTTCATACTCAGAGTAACAGTCCTCCACACAGCTCTGATAGAGCCTGATAAACAGTTCTGAGGCGCTAATGCACCAGCCGTGATGCTTCCGTCGACACAGGGCCCATTAAGGAGACGTCCTGACAGACAGGTAGTAATTACCTCAGGGTTTCAGCTTCTTTACCCTCTGCTCTTCTTGGCTTAGCCACCTCTCACTGCAAGTAATGCTGTGGTCAACAGAGGGCTGACAAGGTCCCTCTTTAAAGCCACAACATGACATTGCTGATCCCTTAACCAAGCCCCGGGCCGGTGACAGTTACTATATCGCCATGGTGATATAAAAGCACTTAGAAGAATGGCTGGGTGGCACTTTTTATCACACAGAACCACTTTTCTTTTGACCCCCCTGCTGCTTGCAGTAACTGTTAAAGCAGTAGATAGAGATATCTTGTATAGAAGTGTACTGGAGTTAAGCTTGACTGCACTGCTTTAGCATCCATTTCTACAGGGGCACGTACTCTCTCAGGGTCCCTCTTGTTGTGGTAGGACGTGAAATTAGAGTATTTCTTTAAACGTCCCGTAGCTTAGGTAGGTAGACAGGTACAGCTGATCTGTAAAAAAACAGAAACATGTAAAAAGATATGAGCTGATGTGTGTAAATGCTGTTTCTAGCATGAATTAGGCTCTGATGGGTTTGAGAGTTTAAATTATGAAGATTTTCTTGATCATGAACTTGCCTGCAGCTAAATGAGAAGCTGCAAATTAGGCTGAGAAGGAAACAAATATACAGGAGTTTTAAAAACTGCAATCCCTTAAATGGCCACCAAAGGCTGGCTCAAAGTGAGTCAATCTCTGGGCATAAATGTATGAGTACTCAACAGCAGAATTACTCAAGACTCAAGACAACGTTATTAATCAAGAATTAGACATGTTTACAACCTGGTATAAGAATAAATGTGGTGAACTCATTGCTAATGAACTGTATCTCGGCCAACATTTAGCTTCAGTGTGACCACTTTTAACTACAGAAAATCAAATTTCACATGTTGAGATGTTTACAGATAGGATTATCAAACCCAAAGCAAGTGGTACCAATCTCTTAGTGTAACCCATGGCTTATCAGACAGAGTTCAGTGAGTCATTGTGTCCTGTGTGATACTGCATGGACGGATGAGATTGTCACCAATATCTCAAGATGACTTGACTTCCTGGGCTCCTCACTTTGTGATTCATCCTCTTTTGCCGCAGCACTCTGAAAGGAAACAAACGAAAAGCTGCTGCATTTTGCTCACAGCTCTTTAGTTGATGTGGGCATGTGGTGTGGACATGTGACCACACACACACACACACACACACAGTGAAAGTGTATGATTCACTTCTCTATTGAGAGAGTTGGTATGATTCATCCTGATCCCGGCTGTGGCTCTGACATTAAAGCAGACGCTGCTACAGTAAGAGTGACCAGAGTGTTGATTAAGAGTAAAAAAAAACACCCTCCCCAAATCCGTCCACCCCTGAGGTCCAATCAGCCCTTTGGCGACACACTCTTCCACCCTCATCCAACTTCTTTTCTTCCTCCAGCATCGACTAAAGTGAGACACAATATAAGAGAATGTACAACCCAAAAATAAACAGAAATATGCAAGACACATTCAAGGTTAAGATTTGCATTTGCCCTCATTCCGTTTTTGTAAATTGTTTTGTCTTTACATTTGCTTGTTAGTTTATATTTTCAATAGTGTAACACCTTTGGAAACAGTATTTTTTCTAACAAATATATTATTTTGTAGCACTTATTAGATGTTAAATGAATGCACTCAAAGAGTGTACTACAGTTCAAGTGCCTGTGTACAGTGTCAGGTGTTTTTTTGTTTGTTTGTTTGTTTGTTTGTTTTCCATTTATTTTATGATTTTTTTTGGAGCATTTTTTTGATTTTTAAGAGCTAATGAAGGTTTTTGGTAAACAGCGACATAATTATTTGTTCATGTTGGAGACTCAAGCAAACTGTAAAAACTTGGCACCATAAGACTTACGATACAAACAGGTTGCCAGTGGATACATACTGTATGTTAACATGCTATAAATACTGGCGACTGATAGGGTCATGTAGCATAATAAATAACATACATGTCAGCTACTTTAAAACTCACATATGCTATTAGTCAATAGAAACCAGCTCTGTGCTGAGGTTTTGCATGTATAGAAGGTCTCATCATGTGCCTCCATTGAGAGGCCACTGGACATGTAACATGAAGTCTGTGGGAAGGTTCACTGTGATTCTCTCCTATTGTTACAGACTTGATACAGACAGTTCAGGACCTGCTCCCAAAACAGCTGAATGTCACCTGTACTTACCTACTAATGTTAAATGCATTGTGTAAATGTGAATTTCTTAGAGTTGATACAAGATACAAAAATACATTATAAAATGTACAAAAAAAACAAACGTGTGCAAATGAAGCATCTATAATACAATAAACAAAGATGACATTGCATCATGTGTGCCACTTTGTCTTTTTGGTTAAATCTGGACGTGAGGTGCTTGTTTGCTATCTTGCGATAAGTTTGATAATGGGTGAATGACGTTTGAAGCTTTGCCCAGCAGGCACTGAGCTTAGGTCAGTTTTTGAAATCCCAGGGTTTACTATTTCTTCAATCTGAGGTCAATAAATTGGCCAGTTTAAAACACTTATGGCTGAGTAGGAAATAGTGGTCAACTCTAAGCAACAAAGCTCTTGCTTTTTCTCATATTTCATTCATGTTTGGGTCTAGGAAGGACACAGCTAGAAAAAAGTGGTGTAATGCAACAGATGTGTGCCGCTATTTTGAAAGAAACGCATTTTAAATGATGCAAATTCACCCCAAGTTGATAATAAATAAAACCTCTGAGTCCCTAGAGGAAAAAAAAGTCTTTATGTTGTACTTTTTCTCCTTCAAAAACCTTGGAGCATTTGTGAAAATGACCTCAAGCAAATGAAAAAAAATTGTAAGATCATAAAGAATGGAGTGGCAGACATGCAGCCAAACCACAGTCAAAAGCAGGACCATATGTGCATGTGTCCCCTGGTCCTAGACAGTCGTTCCCTTCAGTCTTATCACCACTTAAGCATTCAGGGGCTTTTGTTCCTGCTTTGAGTCAAGAGATGAATCCTCAGTGATAAATCCTGAACCGACAACGGGGAGGAAGTCACTAAATGTGGCACAAATGTTTGCAGATCTGGTGAGAAACAAGACTGAGCTTCAGGTTTTAACAGAGTTACTTTCTGGAAACATTTGTCTTAAAAGCAAAATAATAAATTTGTGATTTACTGTCATATTGTTATGTGCAGTTCCCCCCGTTTTAGCTGGTTTAAATATGAGGCCTAAGAGAAGAAAAACCAGCCTGAGATGGGATGACAGATACACTGCAGAATTTTAATTTGTTCAGCAGGGAGCACTTACAGAACCGCTAATCAAACTACATTTTTTCCCCCTCTGTCAAGATTAATCAAAACTGCAAGTCAGCTGAAATGACAGAGAAAAAGAAGTCCTAAGTAGATAAAAGGAAACAGACATGTCCACTGTCGGAAAAGCAGAGACACAATAAAAAGCGCTCAGAGCGATAAATCTCAAAAATGACTCAGTGACTCAGCTCATTAAAAAGTCTGGGAAAAGACTGTAATTTCAAATCAATTATTGTTTCATTCAGTCGAAATGAACAGACTACAGCCAAGAGGGTTGATGGCTCCTCTGAGCACCTGCTGCACTGAAATTTACTACTAGTCTGATTGTTTTACAAGAAGTTAGACAAATAAGAAGCTATTTCAGGAGAGGCACTCCTCTTAAAGTCTATCTTTAGGTTTCAAATGCTCATCATCCTTGGGTTCGGATGGTGGTTCCTGGAATCTCTCTGGCAGCTGTGTTCAGCTGACTTCAAAGCAGAGAAGACACATTCCTTCACAGAAAAATAAGCTCATATGTCGATGCTAGAAAGCTCTAAAATCTCTCAGTTTAGATCCACCTGACAGAGATCTTTCAGAAAAACCTTGAGTTAGGGTCAAAGGTCACCATGTTTACAAAGCATCATAACTTGTCTTTCAAAGATGAAATATTATATATGACTCTTTGCTGATTGCCAGTTTTTTTTTTCATTTATTTGCTTTATTAAAAATGAAGACAGACATGTTTGTTGGTTTCTATCAATAAGATGATTTACTAATCAGGTCAATCCCACTGATTAGTTTAAAAGTAATTATTTTAAATTGACTTTTACTTATTGAAAATGGTGAAACCTTATTTTTCAACATCTCATTAATTGATAATTTATTTTATAGTTAATTAAAGGTTGTTTTGTTCCCCATCAGTCCCCTTAGTGAGCAGTTTTTGAAAAATTTCAGCCCCAGTTCAATTCTTAAGAAGTCTTTTCAAAACTAGAGCCAACTCTTACAACAGTGGTTGCAGTCATAAAAATACTCTCTGAATCGTCTCATGTAACAAAGAAAGCCAGACTTTCGAATTTATCACAAATGTTTTCAAATTAGACAGCAAAGCAAAAATACACTTCCTCTTGTGGGGCATGTTTTTTGGTCAGAATATAAGCTCTGTTGTGGGCTTTTTTTTTGTTTCCTTTAACCCTTTTGCAGTCATTGTTACTCACTGAGGCTTTTCTTGAGTAAGCTACACTTTTGTTTTTCAAAAAGACAATATTGTAATTTAATTACCCATACTCACTCTTCTTCAATGGATGCCTCAACAGATTAGCAACTTCAATAACAATCAATCAAGATCAATCAGTGAATAAACACTGGGAAAATCCATTAGCCACAGTAAAAGGGATACTTCAGTATTTTTGGAGCAGGGCAGTATGAGTTACATGTCACCAGTGAGTGTACCAGCAAAGCTGGATGTCAGTCAACTCTACCCCTTTAATAAAAAAAATAAACTGTCCTGAAGAAGCAGCATGGAAGTTAGGCTACTGTACTCTGTGGACATGGCTGTAGAAAAGGCTACAGTGTACTTTCACTGATTTTGAGAGACTCCAATCCAAACACTCATCTCAGTGTAAGCGTGCTCTCTACTGAGGAATATCAGCTCATTTGTAAAGCCAAGCTCTTTGTGAGTGTTTCTGCACTTGGTAAACCTGATGATGATGATGATGATATTGATGATGAATGGTGATAATGATGAGTGTCATTGCGACTTTATTTGGTCGGTGATTCACTTTGGTTGAAAGGACGATGGTGATTATGCATCACATTAAAAAATAGTGCATCACCTCATTTACTGCAGGACAGCATATGTACTTACACACTCTAAAAACCCATCTCCAGGGTTGAAAAGGGACCGACTACTTATTGGGTTACTTTGACCCAGAATGTTGGGTTATTCAAATTAACCCAAATTTTGGGTTGACTCAATAACCCTTTTTAAGGGTCAAGTTAACCCAATCTTCGAGTTAATTTGGCTCATGATTTTGGGAAAAATTGATATATGCATTTGGGGAGCTTTTTTTGGGAGCTTTGCTTTTACAACCTGTACCCTATTTTCCCATGTTCTTTTACCTAACTGATTGGTGGAATCAGTTCGATAAAAGTACAGAATCTGTATGACCCAAGTAATGGGTATGGATCTGAAAAAAGACCCAGAAAATTAACTCAGCACGTATAACCCAGGAATTGGGTTGAAGAAATAACCCAAGAGTTTTTAGAGTTGCAGCAGTTTTTAGCACTTACTCATGTTGTTTCCTTTTGTCGAGCTCTTTGCTTCTGTTGTATTTGTTCTCAAACGTAACTCTGTCACTTTGGACTGAAGTGTCTGCTAAATTGCACTCTTTGTGGATGTGACTAACATATGCGTTCTTCCACCTGCAGCACGCTGATATACTAATCAGATCTGAGATGGATGAGTCATTTAGAATTATGGTTTATGTTATTTTTACATTTTAAGGTCGTTACACACAGGCAAATTAACGAAGCAACACGAAATGCTAAATATTTGGCTTCCTCCTTTTCCAATACACACCTGGTAAAACGCAAATAGAATTCACATACTCGCATGAAAATACGCCACAGCAGAACAGAGGAGGAGAGAGAAGAAGGAGAAACAATGGCGACTACATCCTCAAGTGATGATGACCTGGTCATGTTTGTAAGCCTATTAAATAACAAAAAGGAGGAGGAATCAAAGTGTCTGGGTACATCCAAAACTGACCTTGTAACAGGAGATGGGGAGTTCCACACAACAATCCAGGAGCTTAAATTGTATCCTGAGAAATTCCGACAATACTTCAGAATCTCCCTCGGACAATTTCAACAACTGCTCCATCAGCTCTGACTCCATGTTTGCAGAAGGAGAGGACAAATTACAGAGAGCTGATTGATCTAGCGCAACGGCTTACCACATGTCCGATCTGAGATTTATATTGGGCTATAAATTTACATAACAGTTTGCCTGCTTAGAATTACCTGGTGGACACAGTATTGGCTAACAGTGTATTTTGATAAGGCATACTCCCTCCCAAAATAACATAAATTACATGGCGGACTCGGCCCTCTAAGTCTAGGCTACTGAAATAAGTAGCCTAGCTTGCATGCTAAAGTAGCAGCTATTTAAAATGCTGTTGCAGTGGCCTTACAATAAAGATTTATTGGTACTGTACATCTAAAAAAAATAACTGGAATACTAAACAACAAGATTATGAGCGATAAAGTTTCCCACCTGGAGTGTATTTTTAGAGGTATTTTCCTCTCTGTGGATGTATTGAATAGGGGAGGACAGGGAAAATGGTCTCATCCCCTGAGACAGGAAGCAGCAAGATTTATGGGAAATGTGGCTGTGGTTATCTAAAACATAGAGCACTATTTGTCCCTCATCTAAATCACAGTTTCAGTGTACTCCCGGAGCAGGCTGGAGCAAAATCAAAATGCAGACACAGTACTCACATCTGCGCTGACACATCTTGGACTGCAGCTGCTTCATCTGCACACAATAAGAGCTGACGTCCTGCAGGAAGGATATTTTTGGAAAATGGCGTTTTTCCACATAGCTGAAGAAGGAGTGAATCTGTGAAGGTTTTCCAACAGGATCTAAATGTTTGAACTTGTTACGACGTCCCAAAAACAGACAAATAAATACACAAGGCTCTCAGGGATAAAATAACACAAACGCACACACAAAGGATGGACAAACCAGAAGTGAGGGTGCATTCCCCTTTTTTTCATCATGTTTTACTCATGTTTTCATACTAGTCTCTGCAGGGTGAGAAACACCAGTTTTGGATGGCATGTGGGCTGCATGAGGAAACCATCCCAAACAGCAGCAGTTGAACACTAAAACAAATCAAACCAATCCACCCCCAGCCTTTTCCATCTGTGCACATCCCACGTGGAAATAAGGGGACCACCCTGTCCCAAATCACTGAATTTTATGAATAAAAACATGCAGAAAGAGTCAACAGAAATAAAACTGGAGCATAAAAACTAAAAGAAACAGTCTCTGAGAGTGATGCAAGCCAGCT